GGATATTATATGACAGCTTGCACTTCCCATTATGTCTCTTGAAATATCTTGCCATAGATTCTTCATTAATCCCTGTAACTTCCCAACTTGGTGTTAGCCAGAGTATATTCTAAGGCAGGAGTGTCAAACTCACGGCGTCACGGTGTCGTCACGGGACTTTTTTCCTCTTTGCTAAACCGGGCGGGGGTGGGACCAGCACGTGACGCATCTGGCCCCTGTTCTAAGGTAGCTTGAACGTTGACATCTCTACGGTATATCCTTTCCTTCTTTCTTTGATCTTCATTGAATCAATCACAATCCCTCCAGTGTCATCCTTTAGCATGCCAGTTCCAGGTGGGAACTTCCGAGTTTGGAGATCTATTGTAAGACTTTCCCTGTTTTTCCATGTCTGTTTCTAGGTTCAGTATCTTTATGGATGTTGTAACACCGCTACTTGTCTCAGCTCTCTGAAATTTGGTGAGAGAATTTGTTTCACATCTTGATTGCTGATGTTGCCAATTTCAGATTGGACATAAAACCTAGCAACCTCCTTTTCTTTGCATCCTTGGTTGGACCATAAATTTGAATGGTTGATATATGCAGGGGCGTCAAACTCAATTTCATTGAGGGCCGCATCAGGGCTGTGGTTGACCTCGGGGGGAGGCGGGGGGGAGACTGGGTGGGCATGGCCAGCTTGACACCACTCCCCAAACTTCTGGCATGTTTCCTCTTTGCATCAGATAAACCACGCCCTTACATTTTCCAGGACAGCCCCGCGGGCCAGATCTGACCACATTGCGGGCCAAATTCAGCCCGCAGGCCTTGAGTTTGACACCCTGTATTAAAGAGTTGTTTGTAAAGGTGATTTATATTATCCAGTGGTTGACTGTGTTGGACTGAAGTACTGCCTTTGCTACATTTTTCCTTACTATGCAAATATCACTATTCTCTTTTTGTGTTCTGAGCAGTAAATAGTATGATATCAAGAGTGAAAATATCCAGTTGCAATCCATTTGAACTTATTGATGCCTAAAAAGTCAATATATAACTGATTCATTTTATCTTTCACTATGTTGAGGTTCCCCATGTTCCTGCTTCTTACATTTCATCTTCCCATTGCTATTCTCTCTCTGCACTTTGGATGTTTTTCTCCTGCAAGGCAACTGATCAGCGGCAACTCAATGTCCCGAAGGCCTTAATTTAGCCGCATCAAAAACAGCATTACTACTCTGAGGTCTTCAGTTCTTCCTCATCTTTAGTGCCATCTGACCTGAGGGGCCCCTTCATCTGGCATTATATTGGCAGGATTTAATATTTTCTATCCGTATGGTTTTCTTAGGGAAAAAAAAATACAGGAATGGTTTAAACTGCTTCTCCTGTGCAAAATGAAATAATGCATTTGCTATTGTCCACTACAATTATCATCCACCCACCACTAACCTCTGACCAATATAGGAGCATGCTTGCTTTAGCTGGGCGCTCAGAATGACTTTGACACCTTGAGTGACTCTCCTTGGAGTATATTTCTGGTGTTCTCTTCATGTATGCCAGGAACATCCCCACCACCACGATGAAGGAGCCTAGCAGGCTTCCGGAAATTATGGTTGGTCACACAGCCAGGTGTTTAAACTGGATTTGGCATTTTTGTCTTACCTATCAAGTCCTTTCCAAGAACTTGGGTTAGGCAGATGTTGTTTATATTATTAAACGTATTGTCACAGGATGTAAGCTGTTTTAAGTGAAGCTGCCTTTTGCAACTGACCGCTGGTGATTTTGTCAATGGCAATAGTGTTCAAGTGGTGCTCCAGATCTCAGTGGACTTGATTTGTAACTGCCACGTGTCACTAAATGTCCAGGATCTCCTACACTTAGCACAGTCTATGTTGACTTGGATGATGACCAATCTAGTATGTTTCTTTATGTCTCATCATATTGTTTATGGGAGGGATACTTTTCATCCGGCTCCTCTGAGGAGACCTATCCAGTACGGTTGAAATGGTCATTTTTTAAAGTCTTGCTCCTTTTAGATATAACTCAAGGTGGAAAATATACCTTTTGTGTCTAAGGAAGGCCTCCCTTAAACACAAACGGTGACCGGGTGACTTTGGGCTAGTCACTCTTAGCACAACCACCTCACAGAGTTGTTATGGGGAAAATGGGAGGCAAGAATATTAGGTATGTTGGCCACTTTGACTTATATTTAAAAAGAGTGAGATAAAATAATGGTTTCTTAGCCAGCACCTTAACTACTACACTAAACTAGATTGCCAGGAGGTACATTCAAATGTTTGTGACCTTGTTCTAAAAAAAAAGGGTACATTTAGAAACAGACATAAATGTAATCATTAATTTTTAAAAAAATCAGAAATATTTTCCTTGTATTTTCCTTTAATAGCAAATTCTTTTGCAAACTGTTGCTTTGCTACTAATAGGGTTACTCTTCATTAGTCTATGGAGTTTACTTTAGCAAAGTGAAATAGCTCAACACTGACATCTTGTGGGAGATAAAATGTGGTACAGCACAGCTTCTTTTCCTCTAATAATCAAACATTTGCATATAATCCTCAACTATCTGAACTATATTAGTCCCCATTCTCTAAATATTTTTGTTATGTAGTTAACTATATTTAACTATTGGCATAGATTCTTTCTTTGCTGATCCTGGCCCTTAATAATGACAGATGGTTTTCAATCCAAGTTATAATTATCCTTTAGGCGTGCACTGTCCAACCTTAAGTTTATACCATCTTATTAATTCCTACAGTTACGATCAGGCAATACTATTTCTTAAATTATGCATTATGGATATAAAATAAGCCTGACTTAAATAGATTTCCTAACCCTCCGTAATCAAAAAGCACATTAACAACTTCTAAGCAGTTTACAAAACTAACAGTCCCAGCCACAGAAGATATTTATAGTAAGTTATATTCAGTTATATTCAAGGGAATATAATAAAACTTCTTATGGTGCTTATGTCCAGGAGTGAGATTCAAATTTTTTAACAACCAGTTATGTGGGTGTGGCTTAGTTGGTAGGTGTGGCTTTGTGGTCATGTGTCTGCCTGGGTGTGGCCAACTCAACATCACTCACATCAAGGCACGCATCTCCTCGCCTGGCCTCTCATGACTGTGGGGATGCTGCAACAGTCATAAGTGTGAAAAAGGGGTCATAAGTCACTTTTTTCAGTGCCCTTGTAACTTTGAATGGTCACTCCACACAAGCAAAGTACCAGCAAAGGAGGGGAAAAAAAACTCCAGAGACGTTCCAGAGACAGGAAGTCTAGTCCTGCCAAGAATGTAATAAGGGTTAACGGAGAGGCAGTTTCTATAAGCAACACCAGAATGTTTCCTTCCTGCCTTCCTTACAGGATTAGGCCAGTAATTTCTTCCAACAACCAGTTCTCCAAACTGCTTAGAATGTTAAAAAACCAGTTCTAGCAAATAGGTGCAAACCTGTAGAATCCCACCCCTGCTTATGTCCATATGAAGATGAACAGTTGAGTATTTTTCTGCACTATAGTGATATTAGCAATGCTCTTATTTTCTGAATATTTGGTCACTCAACCCAATTCTATCTTTTTTAAAAAATCTTTCCAATGATTTCTCTGTGAGGTTGCAAAATTCTTTGCAAGAACTCAGATACCGTATTTCCCCATGTATAAGCACCCCCTTTGTATAAGCCACCCCCCCAATTTTTGGACTGTGAAGTTTTGAAAAAAATATTTTATTAGAGAAACAAGTTATGAAGAAAGAAAATTTACAAAGAAACAAAATTCGACGTCTAGATCTACAACTTCGGTCATGACGCCGAAAGCGGTGCGGGCGACGCTAGCAATCTACGCATCGGAACGAGAGTAGGAACGAAGCATTCAGGCCGATGCCTAGCGTATGCATTTCTATCGCGTACTCGCACTCGTAATCGTATCATCACTTACAATTTTTACAAAAAAGTATAGCATACTGCTGGAAAACCAGTTTATTCCTACTTTATTATTTTATGCATTTTTCACGTATAAAAAGTGTACCTGCTTTGTATATGCCACCCCCCTACTTTATGGGCTTGAAAATTTTGGAAAAAAGGGGTGGCTTATACATGGGGAAATACGGTATTTCTACCTTATGCTGATCCAACACCATCATAAAAATCTGATTGGCTTTACCGGATCATTCCTGATCATCTATGTAGTGTTTAATTATGACTTTGGGTCATTTTTAACCCAATGTAACTCACTAGGATCTTATTGTGCAGAAAAGTGTGTGTGTGGGGGGGGATAGTTCTAGTGGTTAAGGTGCTGGCCTAGAAACCAGGAGGCTGTGAGTTCTAGTCCTACCTTAGACATGAAAGCCAGCTGGGTGACCTTGGGCCAGTTACTTTTTCTCAGCCCAACCCACCTCACAGGGTTGTTGGTGTGGAGAAAGTAAGAGAAGGAATGTATTAAGTATGTTTGATGCCTTGAGTTACTTATAAAGTGATAAAGATGGGATAAAACTTAAAAATTAATCAAATACACAAACACACAGCCTTGCTCCTGAATGAAAGGTTAGAAATCTTAAAAACCAAGCAAAATAAACCACAATATCGTGCTCAACAACCAGCATTTTCTTTGATCTGAAAAGATCTAATTTGCATAAATTAATGCCATTATCTTGTCAAGCACTCAGTAAACTTACGTGGGACTGTTAAGAAAACTGGAATATTACTTAAACTGCCTATTGAATGGGATTAAAATATATATATTGGATATAGAAACATTGAAGTAGCATAATTAGCCAAAAAGTGGAATTTACAATACAGGTACAATGATTTTTTAAAATTTATGTTTAAAAAACACTGAAAAGAATGGAAGAGGTGAAAAATCAGAGAACGCTGATAAATACATGGGATTAGTAATTCAGACTTGCTTTAAAAATGTAAGTATTTCAAGCAGTATCTAGTATTATTTATGTTCAAATTCCAAAGCAATCAGTGAGTCTGAATAAAATCTATTTTAGCATATTTAATTAAATGTACACATACGCGCACACACAGAGTTGAGAATGAAGGCAAAGAAAACATGCTGGTGCAATATATAGATCTATGTGGAGAGGAACAGCGTATCTTTTTGCAAAATATTTCTTTCTGGAATAAATTTCAAACAACAAACAAGTTGAATAAATTCCATGATCTAATTCTATTTAAATTTGATTGAAAATGAGGAAATAAAACTATGAAAATACAGAACGGTTTATCCTAAAGTGTAGCTACACTATTAGTAAGCATTACCAATGAACATCAGTCGATGGTTTCTCTTTAATCTTCAGACTGAGTTAACTCCAATATTTTTAGAGCAAAACATTGTAAACACTATCTTAAGAACATTAATATACAGAGGAATATACATTCTCTAAACCATCTTTGCCAGTTTTAATATCTCTGAATCAGGTTATTTCCAGATTATGATGTACAACTTCCCAATGATTATTTACATGAGGACATGATTTTTTTCAGTTTTCATTTCGATATATTCTCTATTTGAACCAAGGCTTCCTTCTCATGAGCTTCAATTTCCTTAAGCAACTGTTCTTTTTCCTTGAAATAATCCCGGAACCATTGAATGTGTTCTACTTTTTGTTTCACAGTTAAGTAGGGATTTTTGGAAAGTCCGCATGCTACAAGTTCCATGAAGTGGCGAATTGGTCCTTCTTTAGGGAAGTCTGCCAAATGCTTATCCAGAAATATATGTTCATAAAATTCAGCATCATCTTCAAGTCCTGACAAAGGAAAATACACAATCACTGTCAAAACACTTCAATTTACAACCTCCCTGAGTAGATTGCAGTATCTTACCTTATAATTGGCAAATGATTTGCAAACATTAATCCCTATGGTCATCCAAGCCAATATTCTCATTGGTATCTTGAGCTTTGATAATTACTTGTTTTTAAAAGTAATGCAAGTGTTTTTATAAATTCAATACATTGTTCAGTTGACTAAGTGGAATGAAAAGTTTTATGCATCCTTTTCTGCTATCTGGATGTCCCAAAAAGACATTTAAATGTTTGACTCTATTAAAAAGATTTTTAAAAAATCAAATTGATAAACAGGAGAGCAAATTATTTATTCATATTTATCAAACTTATATACAGTGGTACCTCAGTACTCATCGTTAATTGGTTCCGGGAGGCATAATGAGTACCAAAACCAATGAGTACTGAACAATTTTTTTCCATAAGGAATAACGTAGTGTATCAAAAGACAGCGGACACCAATAAGTTCTAGTTTGCGCGTTGAGTATCAAACAAACAATCAGTACAGGGACAAAATTTTCATGTCAAAATGCATTGAGTACCAAATCTGATGAGTTTCAAAGCAATGGAGTACCTAAGTACCACTGTGCTGCCCATCCTATAGTTCCAGGTAACTCTTGATTAAGATGTATCTGAGAGGACCACATACATAATCTTTTTCACTTATCAAATGAAATTATGTCCTATTTTCTTCATTCAAATATTTGAAGTAGCATTTAATTCTCATTTTGAGGATATAAAGTAAAAAGGACCTCTTCGTCTTCCCAGAGACTATCATAAAAAGTGATGGTAATTCAGAATTGGTTTGTTAATTTATTTAAACAAAATAAAATAAAAAATAACTATGTTTGAAACCCGTCAAAAGTAAATCTCAAAAACAATATGTAAATTCTGAAAATGACTTACCCATCTTTTGTACAATATAACTATACTATACTATGCTATGCTATGCTATGCTATGCTATGCTATGCTATGCTATGCTATGCTATGCTATGCTATGCTATGCTATGCTATGCTAT